AAAAATAAATAAAAATAAAAACTGGGACTTCTGCCCTTACTTTCCCCAGGGGAAACAGACCCGAGAAGTTGCCGAAAGGAAAGATACAGGCCAGGAAACATTTGCATCCAGAAACACGAAATTGGGGCTGGCAAGGTTGGAGCCAAAACCATGGGACGAGTAGCAAATTCACTGCCGGGTCTGTATAAAAGACACAGCAGCTGCTAAAATATCAAGACAGAAACGGAGTTGACCGGCGTTCACCTTGTTTCCTTATGTGAGGGTCTCCTCCAATTTGAAATCAAATTCAAACAGTGGAAATGGTCCCAAAGGTTCTTTTATTCAGGAGGCAATTGGACTTTCTTGTTTTTTTTTCCCCCCCTCTTTTGAAGACGTTTTGCTTCTCATCCAAGAAGCTTCTTCAACTTTGAAAGGATGGCGGGGGATGCACTTGGGAGCCTGATTTTTAGCTATACAATTTGGGATATGAACACCCTTTGAAGGGTGTATGGGAGGAGGAATGGATTTCCAGAGGAAAAAAAATTGCAGACTACAGGAACCATTTGCACCACTCAGGTGACCCCCGAGGACGCAGATCAACCCCCAAGCGGCCTCAACGACCCGCTTAAAGGATACAAATGACCAGCTGTCTGCAAGGCGTATAAATCCTTCCATTCCCCACCACCCAGTCAGAGCTGAAGAAGCTTCTTGGATGAGAAGCGAAACATCTTCAAAAGAAAAACACACATACAAGAAAAGTCCACTTGCCTCCTGAAAAAAGCACCTCTGGGACAACCATGAGCTGAATGACGGAGAATCTCTACAGGCTTTTAAGCAGTGGAAATCAAATTCACATTTAATTATGAGAGCCCTGAGGCTAGATACAAGCGAGATACTGAATAAAAGGATTACGTCCTTTAATATATATGTAAATGTGTATAGGAGGAAAACAATAACTGTAAAAATAATTAACAATGTGTGGAGATTCTCAATCATCCAGGTCATGGTTCTCCCAAAGGTTTTTTCTTCCCACAACGCAACTGGATTTTCTTGGGTTTTTCTTTGAAAATGTTTGGCTTCTCATACAAGAGGATTCTTCAGTTCTTTCCTGAAAAAGCTTCTTGGATGAGAAGCAAAACGTTTTCAAAGAAAAATCAAGGAAGTCCAGTTGCCTCCTTCGTAGCCTTCTTCCGATGCTACCCTTTTTCAAAGCGGAACCTGTTTCCCTACCAACATGAGAGTAAGAACCAGAGTAGTAAGAACTTATTTCCAGGTTGAATCTCTCCTGGATCAGTTTCCATCCATTATTCCTTGTCTGGCCTTCGGGTACCTTGGAAAATAGCTTGACCCCCAGAGAAAGGAGCGGGTCAAGCTATTTTCCAAAGCCCCCGAAGGCCAGGCAAGGAATAATAACGGATGGAAACTGAACCAGGAGAGATTCAACCTGGAAATAAGGAGGAATTTCCTGACAGGGAGAGCAATTAACCTGTGGAACAGAAGTGAAAGAAGTGGAAGCTTTCAGGGAAGAGATTGGACTGCCATTTGTCAGAAATGGTGTAGGTTTCCTGCTTGGGCAGGGGGTTGGACTAGATGACCTACAAGGTCCCTTCCAACTCTGTTAATCTGTTAGTCTGTTAAAAAAACAAAAACCCAGAATGAAAGGTGAGACACCAGAAAAACAGGGGAAGGCAATCTGCTCACCACAGGATAAACTTGTAATTTCATACATTACAGCGGCATAAATTCAACGGTATCCAAGCATCGCCAGGAGACGCCATTCGCTGCCTCGCAAGCAGCACATTATCTGGCCTCGAGCACATTATGCTAATAAACTTTCCAGCTTGAATGAAGTGAAGCAGAGGCGCCGAGGATACGAGGCAGAGAAAGGGAGGAGGAAAATCCACGAAGCAGAGCACGGCTTGAATGCTTAATTTTATTTTATTTTTTTCAATTTCCACGAGCCGTTTAAAGGGCCGTAAAGCCACACAGCTCAATTGGCCAATTTGCATGCAGCTGGGACTTCGGTCTTGTTGACAGCTTAGGGTATATACAGGCAGTCCTTGACTTACAATCACAACGGAGCCCAATTTCTGTTGCTAAGTGAGACTTGCCCCCATTTTACGACCTTTCCTGGCACCATCGTTAAGTGACTCAGTGTAATTTTTAAGTTAGGAAGGCGTTTGTGAAGTAAATCTGGCTTCCCCGCTGATTCTGCTTGGCAAGAAGATTACGAAAGGGGATCACACGACCCTCAGGACACTGCGACCGTCACAAATGAGTCGGTTGCCCGGCGTCTGAATTTGGATCATGTGACTGGACATGTTGCAAAGGTTGTGTGAAAAAGGGCTGTAAGTCCCTTTTCCAGTCATGGAACTTTTTTTTCCCCAGTGATGATGTAACTTTGGTCGCTAAATGAACTGTTGTAAGTCAAGGACTACAAAAATAAAGATTGCACTGTAATCTTTTTACAGAGGCACAATTGAGATCGTTTTCCCTGTTTGGTTTGAGGGCAGCAGTGCCTCCGATAGAAAGTCCCTACAGAGAGTGGTGAGGACAGCGGAGATTATAGGAAGTTCGCTTCCGTTATTCAGGAAGCTACTTACAAGCGGTACGTGCTTTGAGCTCAAAGCATTGTTAGAGACCCCACACACCCACTTCACGGTCTCTGTTTCTGTTGCTCCCTTTCGGGAGGAGATTTCGAAGTACCGTATTTATCGGCGTATAACACGCACAGGCGTATAACATGCATTCCCTTTAATATGCGGCGGGCGCAGCGTCACGATGCTGCGCCGCCGCTAGGCACTATTGGGAACGGGACATCGGCATATAACACGCATACATCATTTGCCCCCTATTTTCAGGGGGAAAAAGTGCGTGTTATACGCCGATAAATACGGTATTTCTAGCAGGACTACCAGAATCTAACAGTTTTGTTCCCTATGCCATCCATCTGGTAAACTCGCAAGATTCGTTTTACTCACCATCAACATGTATACATCCGAATTAGACTGTGTTGTTTCTCTCTTGTCACATAGTATATGTGGGCAAATACATAATTTTATATTTATCTATTTATCTTGTCATATTTAGGTAGTGTAAAATTGGAGGTGCTGACCCTTTAAGAGCTATATGCAATGAAATTTCATTTTTAATGTACGCCAATTAGAGTACATTTAAAATCACAATACAGTTATTCTATTCTATTCTATTCTATTCTATTCTATTCTATTCTATTCTATTCTATTCTA